ATAGTTTGAGAATAATCTCCCTCTGTTTCTTTGTCAAGATGTAGATTTTTGCCCATATCCTCTTTCCTGCCAAAGATTGGCCACTTAATTGGGTGATGGTCCATTTGATTTTGTTGACACCTGGCTGAAGCACTGGCTAGACTTTCGTTTCTGGGAAACTGGTTTGTGGCTGCTCTCCCAGACTTGAAACATGTCTTAGTAATACCATACAGAGGAATCTTATAACTTTACATGCAATGTTTCCACACGTATTTTACCAGGACAATAATGATCAGCAAATTACGAGTTTTCAAATGATACCTCACAAGGCATACTTTGTACAAAATGTATCATTGTCCTGCAAAAGGGGTAAACATAGGAGTGCAGACTGTCACATCCATATCTCTAAACAACTCTTTCCTGTATCACAATTAACTCCTAACCATTCCTCTGCAAGACAAAGTCCAGCCCAACTGTGGCAATGGAAGGTGCAGGGCTTTCATTTTGTAGTCTAGAAACCCAGAGTTAAATTGTAAACATGTCAGGCTGTCTCTACCAGTCTACACAGGAAATTGGTCTTTCTCATTGCTTTCTGCAAGTGTAGGAACACAGCTTTACCAGAATTAGAGCTGGTTGAAAATTTTTTTTTCCCCTTGTGGAAAAAAAATTGGGGCAAAAAATCAATCACCAATCTTTTTGCCCCAAATTGAAATATTTTGATTCTGAAATTCTGCTGTGATGCCTCATGGGAGTGGTAGTTTGGGTACCTCATGTTCCCATTCTCCTCCTTAGACTGGGCTCCCCACTTGGTCTACATTTCCCATGATACATCATGGTTTTCCCTCTTGGTGAGGGGAGGTAGTGCATCATTCCCATGACGTGGCTGCCATGCATCATAAAACGTGGAGTTCAGCTTGGGAGTCCAGCCTATAGAGAATGGGGGAATGAGGCAACTGAACTACAACTCCCATGAGGCACCGCAATGCGATTTTGGAATAAAAATATTTGGGGTTTGGGCCAAAAAACCCAACATTTTTCTGGTTATCAGTTCAGTTTTACAAAAAAAAAATCAAAAGAATTTTCCAGAAAGCCCATGCTTTTTGCCAAAAAACTTGGTTTGTAGAAAGCCCCATTTTCCATGGAAAATTTTTGACTAGCTATTATGGTTCCAGCGTGAGTTTTACAGTTGAACACTGATTCCCTCTGTCCATGGGCACCCTTCCAAGTGACTAGGACCTACACCTATATTTCTTTCAGGGTCAAATTCCATGATTCATCCCACTTTTAGACTTGAGTCCCTAAGTCACAGCACCCATATTCACCAGTGCTGTGTCCTCTGGGTTTTGGGCTCTGTCATAGACTTCCTTTCTGCGGTATGAAAATGCAGTCTCTTCAAAATAAAGTATGTATTTATCCATAGGAACATAGGGATGAAAGGGTTAAAACAACAAGAGCTCTATACACACATTATCTTACCTAAACCTGAACCTTTTCCAGTTTCAGTAGGTCTACTTGTCCTAGGCACCCCACAGCACTGGAGCTGGGCAAGATGGTGCCCCTGCAGCTGCTGCCATGGTCTCAGTGTGATTCTCTGTCGGTGTCTCACACAGTGAGTTCCAACACCGTCTTTTGATCCATATCAAAATGCCTTTGCCTGTCCTGGGACCCCTGAACTTGGTCAATCTGATTTATGCATCTCTCCAAGAGGATCAGAGGCAGCCTTCCAGCAGTGAATTTGTTTGCTAAGACCTGCAATTGAGAGAGAATCACTATCTGCAGTCCTGGATTGCAAGCTATCACTTTAAGGGCGGGGAGGTTTCCTGCTCCATCTTGCAGACCGAGGTGGTTCTGTATCAAAGTGTGTGAGCAGCATCAGTCTGGAAAGAATTAGCTTAAATCAATTAAGCTCCCTCTCTGCCTTAGGGAGCAGCTTGTTTTCTCTCTGTGTTTCGAGGTTCATGTTTATCATTCTCAATTTTACAAAATCCAGTAGTTATGCTGCAAACGTCTCTCACTTCTCTAGGTGTATGCTGTGGTCATAACACTGGAGAGGTGTAAAACAACCCACAATTGAGTTAGCTCTTTGCCTGAATGCACCAGACAGCACAATAGTAATCCTAGAGGCAGAAATACATACAATATTTATAAAATATAATACAGATATCTCCAATGTTCATCACACCAGCTCTAGCCAGGATGATTATCCTTGTGTATGATAAGAGGTGGAGAACTGAAGTCCTCAGAGACTCTCATTGAAGTTTCTTAGCTCACGTATGTGGTAGCTTGAAGCTACAGGGCATCCAGACAGAGAGGGCTGAGGTTCAAGCAGTGGGGTATGTACTTGTTGCTACTTTGTTTTCTGTGTAACATTCCTTTACAGTTCTAGGAATCCATTGTCTTCAGGAGGCAGCTGCCATTTTCTTTTCAGTTCAGATGCATGTGCCCCAGGAGACCCACACATTAGGGACTTCTTTCTTTCGTGTTAAAGCATAACCAGAGTCCTCGTGTTGGTGCTCTGAGAAGAGAACTTAAAAGCAGACGAATGGTAAAATGACCACTTATGGGACTTTGAAGGGCCTCCAGTTTAATGCAAAAGAAGAATCTGGCTAGAGTTTTGCTGTCTTTCCATGCAGATGCTGTTGAAGACAGTGGCATGAAAAGATCTGTTTTTCTAACTGTGCTGGGAAAGGTGCCTTTGGTAGCCCCTAATGCCTACCATGTCCCACAGGACCCAGGCACAATGGGGTTTAAGGACTTAGAGGAGGTTTATAAAGGTGTGGTGTGCCAAAATCCTAATAGGCCCATAGTTCTATTACACAAAACATAGGATAGGCTCAGGGGAGGGACTGTAAGTGGCACGAGCCTTCCTTGCTGTAGAGGCATGGGGAGGAACTGGGCAGCAGGCTCAGTACCTAGAGATCCCATTCGGAAGCAACAGGAAGCCTGGGGCCAGAGAACTCAAATGGGAAATCTGTGGGGATATGCTGGGAAACTTACAAGTGTAAGAATCTGGCCTGGGACCAGCAAGTTAAATAGGAATCTGCAGGGAGGCAGCCGACCTTTAAGTTAGCCTGAGTCTTGTGCTCTGCAAGCCAGAGAGGCACCAGAAGCTGGTCACCTGCTGAAGGCACTGGATCTCCAGGAGAAGGAAGGAGGAAGAGAGGCTCCAGGAGGGAGGTCACAGGCCATGCTGCAGTTCCTGGCCAATTTGGAGTTGGCTCTCGGGGTGGGGGCAGTGTGTGGAGACCCCCTGCTACCCTCCCTTCCCCCCCGGGGCCGCAGGGATGTGCCGGCTGTTTCTGGGAGCAGTGCAGAGCCAGGGCAGGTAGGAAGCCTGCCTTAGCCCCGCTGTGCCACTGGACTTGCCGGGAGGAGTTGAGGAAGGGAGTGGGAGGGGTTGATCAGCTGGGCCCGTGGACCCCCTGTAGTACCCTTGGGGACCCCAGATTCAGAAATGCTGGACTGGAAGGATTGTGAGCTGCAGATGGAAGGAGCAGTCAACAGACATGGGTACAGAAGCCAGCACACTTGGGGTATTTGATACTCAGGGTCTTTTGGGGAGGGTATATGAGGGGCACTGGGCACTTAACAGATATACAGGAATTTCACAAATAAAGGGCAGGGACTGTTTTGTGTCAGTATAGCGCCTAGTGCAGTGAGGTTGGTTTGTGGCTGAGATGCCTATTAATTATTAACAATAAATGAAGGTCGCCATGCTGTGAGGAGCAGTTGGAGTGGGAAAAGTCACAGAGAGACCTCGATGCCATAGGGTGATGGGTGGGGCAAGTGAACTCGTCGTCTCTGACTGGAGATTTACTGTACAGCAACAGGGAACAGATGATTTCGTGGTGGGATTTCTCTGGTTTCCTTCTGCCCTTTACAAAAATCCCTGTTTGTGTGTCAGCCTGACTCTCCACACAGAACTGCCTGGCTTGCCTGCACATCAGCACTAGACTAAGAACCAAGCACGTTTGCTATTGTGTCGTGGGTAGAGCTGGTTGGGAATTCTTGGGCAAAACTTTTTTTATTGTGGCTGGAAGGCGCTGATTTGTCATACCAGTTTTGATAAAAGTTTCCTCAAGTCGGGATGGAATTTCTGGTCAGAGAGACAGACAGACAGCTTGAGTGACTTTCCCATATTTAGTGTGGTCTTGTCCAGGGAGGAGATAACTCTGGAGTTGATAGCTGAATGGTTACTGCTTCAACTCGGCCTCTGTTGGATGTGTCTTGAGGTGAGTGGTAGAAGTGTAGGAGCACAGGATGGCCCAGTAGTTAGGTTAGCTGGCATATTGGGAGACCTGGCTTCAAGTCCTTGCTCTTCTACAGGGTTGGGTGCGACCTTGGGAAAGCCAGGTTGGGGGAAGATTTTTCAAAGTCACTTGAGCATGAAATTCCCATTAAAACAACGAGGAGTCCGGTGCCACCTTAAAGACTAACAGATTTATTTGGGCAGAAGCTTTCGTGGGTAAAAAACCTACTTCTTTGGGGTTTTTACCCACGAAAGCTTATGCCCAAATAAATCTGTTAGTCTTTAAGGTGCCACCAGATTCCTCGTTGTTTTTGTGGATGCAGACTAACACGGCTACCCCTCTGATACTAAATTCCCATTGACTTTCAATGGGAGGCAAGTGCCATTTGTGCCTTTGAAAAATCTCCCTCTTTGTCTCTCTGTGCCTCAATTCCCACTCTTTAAAGTATGAGATAATAGCACTGCCCAACTTCACAGGGATGTTGTGAGGACAGGTACGTTAAAGATTGGGAGGTGCAGCATTCTAGTAACAGGGGTCCTATATGTATAGAAAGGACTTACAGTGTTCAAGAAAGCTTCTTGTCCTTGCTTCCACCAGAGGGAGCCCCTCTGTCCAATAATGAACACTTATATCTCGCCTCCTGCTGCTTCTGGTCTATTTCATATTCGTGCAGCTTTGCAAAAGCATCTCAACGGCTCATCATCAGACAGCAGCTGCCAGGCAGGTGTCAGGCTTCTCTTTTCGTTTTTGATTTGATCTCTCTCTCTTTTCAAAGGGGGGCTCTGGCTTCCCTCTGGAACTGGCTCCTTAGAAGTGCATCTGCCTGAGGAATTCTGGGCTCAGGAGGATTTGCTTTTTTTTTTAAACACCTTTTCTTAGGGTCTTATTAAAAATAAGCAAGGTGCTCGGATGGAAAAGGAGAGCAGGACGCCTACCAGGTATGGATCATTGGAGTCAACCAAGTGGACAGCTGCAGACCCAGCCAAAGGTGAGAGCGCTTTGTATGCATGTGGAGCAGCCAGGCACCCCCTGAGATCCCTGCCCGATAAGAGAGCTCAGCCACCTCTCCAGGCAACGGACTCAAATCTGCACTCAGTGCCTGCAGAGCCTGCTGCTGAATAACACACCGTCTGAGCTGGACCTCAGTTGGACTGGTCTCCTAGCTCCCTTCTCTACGCCCACCCCGGCTAGTGACTGTGATGGGGGTACACAGCAATCAGAGGGGGATGGGTGTTTAGAAATGTTCGGTGCCTCTGATGGTTTTTCTCATCACCTTGAAAGTTTCACAAGGGTAAGTCAGGGACTTTCCCATCCTCCCCCCTAGGGCTAGGGGGTTGTTGGTGGCCCGGGGGGAGGGTCTCGGGGTGCCCGCATAGCTCATTGGCAGGGTGAAGGCAATAGGCATTTTCAAAGCAGTCCTCTTCTGCTCAGCCGCAGGGACATAATAGTGGCAGGCACTGGAGGAAGCAGGTGATTAGGCTCATGAGTAGGAAAACCTGGCTGGGAACCAAGAGTTCTCTGTTCATTCACAAAATCAACTCACACCAGCTCTTCCAGGCAGGAGTTTGTGCTGCGAGAGCACAGAGGTGGCAAAACTCCAGCACCTTTGGGGACGCAGATGAGGGAAGGGATGGATGACGGGGTTAGAGTAAATGAGAAACGTCCTAGCTTGTCTCTCTGGGTGGAGAAAGTATTAAAAGATAACACATCAGTCCCCAGAGCCCCCCAAAGCTGTGACTGCCTTTGAAAAATGATCCCCTCCTGGCTCCAATGGCTCATTGTTAATTTGATTCTTGAGAACATCATGGTGAATAATGAAGATGAGGGCAAGATTCAGGAATTTACACATTCACGATGCTGCTAAATATTATTCGCTTCTGCTTTACAGTTCCCCAAGAGTGCGTCTCAGGGCTGGCAGTTCCGGCAACAGCTGTGCTGGGGAGATTGATGGTTATCCATTTATCCAGAATATTTATGCCGAGTAGATGGTGTCTATTTATTCAAGTACGCAACTGTGTGATCAATGCCACCACAGAAATCTACATCCTGGGAGAGGTAGCTGGGCTTCAGATACACAGCAGCAGCTCTTTTATCAGCTGCTACATAACAGTGTGGGGAGTGTGGGCTAGTGGTTAGAGCAATGAGCCAAGGGGAGGGGGCAGGACTCCAAGGTTCTCTTCCAGATGCAGCTGCTCGTTTGCTCTGTTTTCTCAGGAACCTCATTTCCCCGCTCTGTACCTGTTTCTCCCCCTGTGAAATGGGGATGATCACAGAACTGTAGGGCTGAAAGGGACCTCGAGAGGTCATCATGTCTGGCCCCTTGCACTGAGGCAGGACCAAGTAAACCCAGACCATCCTGACAGGTGTTTGTCCAACCTGTTCTTAAAAACCTCCAATGACGGGGATTCCACAACCTCCCTTGGGAGCCTGTTCCAGAGCTTAACTACCCATAGAGTTAGAAAGTTTTTCCTAATATCTAACCTAAATCTGTATGCTGCAGATTAAGCCCATTACTTCTTGTCCTACCTTCAGTAGATGTGGAGAACAACTGATCACTGTCCTCTTTATAACAGCCCTTAACATATTTGAAGGCTGTTATGAGCTCTTCCCTTCTCATGACTAAACATACCGAGTTGTTTCAACCTTTCCTATAGGTCACATTTTCTAAATATTTTATCATTGTTGCTCTCCTCTGCACACTCTCCAGTTTGTCCACATCTTTCCTAAAGTATGGCAGCTGGAGCTGGGACACAGTACTCCAGCTGAGGCCTTACTAGTGCTCAGTAGAATGGGACAATTACCTCCCATGTCTTACATACAACACTCCTGTTAATACATCCCAGAATGACATTAGCCTCTTTTGCAATGGCATCACATTGACTCATATTCAATGTGTGATCCACTATGACCCCCAGATCCTTTTCTGCAGTTCTACCACTTAGCCAGTTATTCCCCATTTTGTAGTTGTGCATTTGATTTTTCCTTCCTACATGAAGTACTTTGCACTTCTCTTTATTGAATTTCATCTTGTTGATTTCAGACCAATTCTCTAATTTGTTGAGATCATTTTGAATGCTAATTCTGTCCTTCAAAGTGCTTGCAACCCCTCCCATCTTGGTGTCCTGTGCAGATTTTATAAGCACATTCTCCACTCCATTATCCAAATCATTAATGAAAATATTGAATAGTACCAGACCCAGGATCAACCCCTGCAGGACCGCACTAGATACACCCCCCCAGTTTGATGCCAATCATTGATGATTACTCTTTAAGTACAGTCTGTCAGCCAGTTTTGCACCCACTTTATAGTAATTTAATCTGGACAACATTTCCCTAGTTTGCCTATGACAATGTCATGTAGGACTGTGTCAGGAATCTTACCTCCCCAGGGGCGCAGGTGGGCTTGTGAGGCTTAATTAATTCATGCTTTCCTTGTATGGAAAGTGATGCAATCATACAGTGGTAATGCTGTACTGTTCATATTGTGCTTTCTCTACCTCAGTAATGGGCAGGGAGTGAAGCCCAAATCTAGGGCTGACCAAAAAACAAAAATTCTGATTTGTGGAAAATGTGGAGGTTTTGACATTTGTTTCTGTTCCAACTAGAACAAAACAGAGACCTTTTGAAATTTTTCGTGAGTCAGAGAAACACACCCAAGAATAGCCAATAGCCCAGTGTGAGAGCAGTCACCTGGAATGTAGTAGAGCCAGGATCAAGTCCCTGATTTGGAGCAGAGACATGAATCTGGGTTTCCCACATCCCAGACAGTACTCACACCACCAGGCTGTTCTGGGGCAGGTCTCTTTTTGGTTTTGACCATAAGATCCCCCCTGGACCTGATAAACCTTTCCTGACCAAAGTGGCATTGCAACCAATATATTTCCTTGAAAAGTTTTGGTTTGATGAATCAGCATTTTCCAACAAAAAATGTATCTCTGCAAAATTCCTGACTGACTCATCTTAACTTTCCCTCTCACAATCCTGACATCACACCTGGCTCACACTTTGCTCCTTTCTCTGGAGCCTTCCATTTAGCCATTCTCTGAGTTCCCCACTTCCGCCTTCTGCCAATTACATATCTTCCCTTATTGAACTAATTACCTTCTTAGCCCAGCCATTGCCCCCAAGTGTCAACAATCTCCACCATAATAGGTTAATTTCTCCCAATTAAGCCAGTATATATTCTCTGTTACACAAGTGACCAGGGTTCTACAGCTAGCACTCTGTCGCAGAGATCACAGGATCTGGCTGTCCTACGAGTACCCGGAGGAGATCACGTGAATCCAGAGGTTGACTGACTTCAGAAAATGCTGCAAAACCTTTCTCCTCAACAAAGCCTTTGCACTGTGAGACCAACACTCACATACAGATATCCCCTTCCCCCCCCAAACCTCAACACTGACTTTCCCTTCCCCCCCAAACCTCAACACTGACCCCACTTCCACCCCAAACCTCAACACTGACCTTCCCTTACACCTCCAAACCTTCAACACTGACCCCCTTCCACCCCACACCCCAAAAGTGACCTTCCCATACACCCCCAAAGCTCAACACTAACCCCCTTACACCCAACACTGATGTTCCCTTACACCCAACCTTCAAAACTGACCCCCTTACACCCCACACCCCAACACTGACCCCCTTCAACTCAACACTGACCCCCCTTCTGCCCAACAATGACCCCCAAACCTCAACACTGACCCCCCCTTTGATCCAATACACCCCAACATTGACCCTCCTTCTATAGCCACACTCCATCGCTGAGCCCCCTTCTATCCAATGAACCTCATATCTGACCTCCCTTCTACCCAATAAGCCCCAAACATTGACCCCCTTCTACTCCAAACACCAAAAGCGACCTCCATTCTACCCCCAAAACCCAATACTGACCACTTCTACTTCCCTCAAATCCCCCAAACTGACCCCCTTCTCCCCTTAATTCTCCCAACACTGATACCCCCCAACCCTTAAACTCCCAATATGACCCCCTTCTGCACCAAACCCAAACACTTACCTTCCTTCTTCCCAATAAACCTCAACCCTGACCCCTTTCAGCCCCCAAAACGCCACCCATTGTTCTGACCCAGTATGGCCATTCTTACATTCTTATGTGATCAAGTCATCCCTTAACCTTCTCTTTGTTAAGCTAAGTCTATTACTTTAAGTCATATTTTCTAATCCTTTATTGATTCTCGTGGCTCTTCGTTGAACCTCTTCAATTTGTCAACATCCCTCTTGAATTGTGGGCCCCAGACCTGGACACAGCACTCCAGCAGCGATCACACCAGTGCACAATACAGAGGTAAAATATCCTCTCTACTTCTATTTGAGATTTCCATTTATGCATCCAAGAATTGCATTAGCCCTTTTGGGTCCCATATTTCTAGTCATATGTAATCACAGTAGCTTTGGGGTAGCAGTACTGCCTGCCTAGACTGTGCCAGCATTTCAGACTGCTCTGCGGGCTCCTGTTGGCTCAGTGCCACGGCACCAGCCCCCAGCACACACACGCTCACCCTCCCTGACAAACCACTGGCTCTGGCAAAGAGATTGCTTGCTGAGCAACAAAAATGATTAAATTTGGCAGCTCTCAAGACTTCTGGAGAATTTGGCTCAGCTTTTGCAATTGATTCCACCCTCGATAGAATGTGCGACCTCCCGGGACATTGGTGTAGGCTTAGCCACATGTCACCGGGGCTGTTTTAAGTAGAGGCGTGTGGAGTTCTTGCATCAATGTGTGGGAGTGTCCAGCTTGGGCTGTAGATCTGTTGTTAGGTAGGAGGCCTCTAAGGAAAACCCAGGGTGCTGAATCAGACCTGGAGGTAATGCCCCTGCAGGGCACTAGGGGGTGCTGTGCTACCAAAGGATGAGAGGTAAAACTTTGCCCCTGATCATTTTTGGTCCTTAAGCATCCACTAGCCTTTGCTGCAAGCATTTGGTTGTGGACAATGATTCCCTGGTTGCTGCCTTCAGCCTCCATGGTCTCTC